TTTTAACAATCACTGGAAATATTTCCCCCTATGTTTCAGACAATCCTATAACATTGTGTATCAGGGCAAAGACCCACCTTTAGATGCAGTCTGCAGACTGAATTTTGACGACGTGTGGTGCTTGCCGCAGAATGAACTGCTACACAGCAGTGTTTGCTTCCTTCAGACATTCATATTGCCAGAGAGAAGAAGAAAGTCTTCACTCACCAGTGGCAGCTGCATCCTTTTCATCTTCTTTCTTTCCAGGTACTGGAGGTGGTGGTGGTGGCGGCATCAACTTGGAATCAATATCTTCACAGTCAGCATCGTAATCATCTTCATCTTCATCTAACCAGTCAGGAGACAAGACTGCATATTAAGCAGACAATAAAAGGGAACCAGGCACCCTTCCCATTTATACTATTTCACACCTGTCCCAACCTGATAAGAAAATCATGTCTTCTCATTAGTAAGGAGACCATTCTCATTTTGTAACTAGATGCAAAACTCTTACAAGTTCAGCTTTCTGCACAAACTCATTTGCAAGACTGAAATTTAAGACAGAGTGGGAAGGAGGGAAAAAGGCAAATTGACAGCAAGATAACTGAAGCACTTAAAATATATACATATATTCTGCTATCACCTCCCCTTATTCACACTGTGCAGAGAAAATAAAGCTGCTAAAGAAGTAAAAAAAAATGTGATTAAAAAGCCCAAATACCTTTACAGACCACTAACCACAATATGTCAACAGAAAGGTTAAGTGTAAGGTAGCTTTAATGCAAAGATTTAGCATTTACACCAGCAGCTACTGAAAGGGAAAAGCTGCATGTTTTTGAAAATCTGTTCTAGGCCAGACAGAGAGCCCTGGGACTGACAAAAGAACCAAAGTGCCTTCTGCAGAAAGTAATTTCAGAAAAAGGATTCAAGGGTAAAACAGGAGAGAGATATTAAGATTGAAGTGACTCTCTAAGGGATCAGGACTTTATCTCTATCTTTGAGCATATCCAAGAAGCACCTAGCCTCCTGCATAACCCTCTTCCAAAGAGCACAGGTTAAAGAAATATGAGCAGGTATTGGGTATTCTCTGCAGGGGATCCCAGAGCAAAAGGAGGATCCTGGTTTCTCTTCTGAATATAGTTTAACAAGGAACTAATTCCTTTAAAAAAGGAAGATATCAAGCAGTGGCTTGATCCAGTGAACAGAATTTCACAAAAGCTTATATTGAATTCTTGAAGCAAGAAGTGAAAAGGCACAATGTCACCCTTATAAGAGACTATCAAGGCCCATTGCCCCAAAATACCTTCTACAGCTAGAGCTGTAACACTACCTGGTCTTCGAACTGGCTGCAGGCTGCCCATTGCCTGCTTATACCTACGGCTCTCATCTTCTGCCACTTCATTAATGTCTGAATAATCAACAGCATCTTCTGTGCTCTTAACCCAGCCTAGGAAGAAAAGAAAGCCAGTCACACAAAACTTTATCCTAATATATATTACTAACTTCACTATGTACACATGAACCCCTTCCTATGCTTCCTTTTCTTAGAGGAACAAAACCATCTGATTAACATCTCCCATCGGAGTATTTTCCCCCTCATTCCAACCAAAAGCTCCAAGAGCTCCAAATTTCCCCTAGATACTGGTAAGTAACCAACTTTAGCACAAGGAACACCTTTCACTTACTCAGTGAAACTGTTCAAGCTCAGAAATAAAAAAAGACATAATAATACCGTGCACTAAATGGGCTTGTTTAACACAGGGGAAAACACAGAATAAACTTATTTATGAGGGAGAAGAGAGAACTGAAAAAAAAAAAAATTATAAAAAATGAGAGCGCACAAGTGCAAAAGTGACCAGGAGATAATGTGGGGTTCACTCTGGCAAGAAGGCAAGGCCTTTGCCAGAGGACCTCTGACCAGATAACATCATATTCCTTGCAGTCCCAGATGACCTGGGTGCATTTCTTCCTCTCCAGTATAGCTCTGATCCTGCAGCCCCTCTGTCGTTTAACTGCAGGTACCCCAGTGCCTAACCTTCCTCATCCAGGTGAGCTCCATCAGTCTCCGGGCTGTCCTCCTCGCTGGCTGTGATCTCAGTGATCAGGTTGCCCAGTCCCAGCACACCCAACCCGGCCAGGTGCTTCTTGGATTCCTGGAGAGACCAGAGCCACGACCCAGCTGGGAGGCTCCGCCAGCCAGGCCGGGCCGACACGAAGCCCCTAACCCCCTGCTCGGTCCCGTCCTGGAGCCCGCAACCGACACTTCCCCGGGCCTGCCCCGGAGCCTGGCCCACCAACACCTCCTCCTCCCTGGCCCGCCCCAAAACCGCACCGCTGGGAACCCGGTTCCTCTCCTGTCCCTCAGCCCACGCCGACGGCCGGGCAGGGCCGAAGCGGCGCCTTCCCGGAGCGACACATCCCTACCTTGTCGAGGACGCTGTCCCCCTCCAGCTGCCCCGCCTCATTGATGTTGCCGAAGAGAAACCCAGTCAGCGAGAAGGGCTCAGCGCGGCCGCCATCCCCCTCCTCCTCGCTCTCCGAGTCTGACATCGCGCCGATGCCGACCCGGAACCGGAAACGTGGCCCGGCCGGGAACTGAGGCAACCCCCACCACGCCAAGTCGGAAAACAGCGCCCCCGCGCCGCAACGTCGCAAGGAAGCGCAGAGGCTCCGGCGTGCACCGAAAAATCGTTTATTGCGTTTAAGAAACGGGGTCTGGCTTTCCACAGGAAAGAACTACGTTTAGAACAGGTGCGTTACAAACAGCAGGGTGAGTTAATACAAGAGCCAGAGAGAGGAAGAAAGTTTTATTACAACTTAATTCCACATAATTTAAAAAAAAAAAAACTTTAAAACTGTTAGCTGTAATACAAACTCTTTTATAGTATAAAATCAAGTTGCCAGTGTATATATCAGTACCACACTTGAGAGTCTTGGGCTCCCACTGCTGACGGGTGCTTTTCGCAGCCCACCCGGGTGGTCAGGACTCCTGTGAGATCCATCCACTTCTCAGGGTCAGCCCAAGCAGCACCGAGGTTTCTACAGAGCAAGGTTTAGCACTCGGAGACAAAGCATGGTGAGGCTCTTCTAGTTTAAATTTCATAGAAATAGCTACAGCTGTAAACCGGAGAAAGCACTTACACATCTAAGCACGCCTCATAACATCCTTTGGACACAGAATTCCTAAACTGCTCAGCTCCTTGGGGGTTGCTACTGCTGTATTTAAAAAAACCACTGAACTATTTCAGAAATCATTCACAAACTGAAAGATTAAAATTGGTCTCTTCATGAAGAGTCTCTTCTGTGAAATAAGACATACACACTGCATCTCTATTCAGTAACAAACTGAGGAATCTTGAACAGTTTGGGAAACCTGCACAGCTTAACCCAGGTCTTCTGATCTCCTGAAAACAGACAAAATCCAGCCATGGGATTGTGTGAAGTCTGTATTTGTTACCTGCCCACAGGAGGAAAAAAAAAAAAAAAAATAACAAAACACCACAAAACATGTGGGAGGAACAGAACGGATTGTAGACTGAAGCACTGGACTAATTACAATCAAATGCACCAAGAATTGTAGGGGGTAAAAAAAGGGAAGGAAAATCACAAACTAAGAATGCCCACTGAATGGAAAAGCTCATTGGATCTGTGCGCTCCTGAAGCTCATTCTCATGAGAAGCAGAGGCTGGAGGAAACCAGCTGTCAGCCGGCAGGACTTTTGCTCCTGGCAGAAAGCAACAGAAATAAAAGGCATCTAATGACTATTACTGAGGTACTCCAAAGTCAGTAAAAAGTTTTTTATGGTGTTCAAAGTTCACTTTCCACTCATTTTCATCACTATCATGTTACTCTCCTCAGTACTGTTGTGCAATCCATTTATTAAGTAATAATCTAGATGGGGATAAAGTGTTCTAGCATAATGTAATCAATTCAAATGAATTGATAAGTACTTGACTTTTATCTCGCCATACTCTCTTCCAGTTAACACCAGGATGGCTGCTCTGTGAGCCTGCAGAAGCAGTGGGGGGGGGGGGGGGGGGGGGGGGGGGAAA